AGCCCCTATCGGGGTACACGAGGTAATCCTGCAACTTTCACACAGTCTAGCAGGCATAGGGCAGCAAACTTCACACGCCCTCATTCCACAACCAACGCAAGGAACAAGAGGGAAACCAGGCTCAGGGATCCTGTTACACTTAGTGCACCTGTCCCGTCCATCATCTCCCCTCAAGGCTTCAGGGAGAAGACCACCATCTCCCTGCCTACCGGCACCATTCACACTATAGCCGAGGCTAAGACCCGGCCCAAGGTTACCGCCGCTCGCAACACTTGAGGGGTAACCCGTGGCATTGCTAGACTGACTAACGCCAGCGCCAACCCCTTGGTGACTAACGCCACCTCTGTAGGCAGGACCATAGAAACTGGAACCACACTGATTGTTCCCGGTTCCATGAGTGTCAGCAGCACTACCGTGGAACCCGGGTGCTCCACCAGGGTAACCCCCGGTAGGAGCCCCTCCACTCGGCCCTCCAGAAGGTCCAGCGGGACCTTGGCCTCCGCCAGGATGTCCAGGCCCTGGCGGTGGAAGTGGAGCATGTCCATGACCACCGCTTCCGCTCCCACCTTGACCAGGTGGTCCGCCTTGCCCACCACCTCCCCCGGGAGGAGGAGGAGGGGGCGGTCCAGCTTGAGCGCGTTCATGCCGAATATTGCAGCGTGCACATCGCTCAAGGCCGTCATTTCCGAAGTAACTGTGATTCTCACAGACGTGAGTCCCACAATCCGTACAGAGATACATGGAGACCTCCTGAGCATTCTTGCGACATGCCCAGCATTTCATTTTCAAGAACTGACAATTGTAACAGTCCCCGTCGTCACCCCGGCAAAGCCCGCAAAACTCACGATTGCACGTAACACGCGAGAATTCAGCATTTGGGTGCCTACGGTCATTGGGATCATCGAGGGCACAGATCTTTGGGGCATCTGGGCCACCGCTGCCGGGAGCTCCTCTTGCAACCGGCGCCGAGGCCTGTCCACGATCCGACGGATCTCCAGCGGTCCCTCGCCTATCGCCGGGACTCTGGGTGTCGGCGCTGGCTCTACTCCCAGGAGTCCTCCACTCATCACCAGGACTCTGGATGTCGGCATGAACTCTATTACCCCCACCACCTCCTGAATGACGACCTGGGTTCGGAGAGACGTTCCCGCTATCGCGGATTGGCCTATCAAAACTCGGAGAGACGCTCCCGCTATCGCGGATCGGCCTCTCCCCCCTCGATTGTCGACTCCGGACCTCAGATCCCCTATCGGGGACGGCAGCAGGCCTCGGGCTCCTATTCCTACCCGCATCCCTATTGGGGGAAATAGAAACGTCCCCCCTTGCGCGCGCGCGGGGACCACCCCTTGCACGCTCCGGTGGCGAATGCGACCTGTCAGGCAACCCCCGAACCCTCCTGCTCCTGCTGTCGGACCTCTCCCTAACGGGATAGATGGGATGCCTGTCTGCGCGAGAAGGATCGACCCTATCGGGCACATTCGGCAAAACATGATCAGGCAAAACAACGCCTCCGCCTGGTCTCACCGGCAGGCCAGTACCCCGGCCGTCACCTTCCCCTGGTGTAGGCGTCGGTGACCTGATCCTATGTCCTTGCCCCGCAAATGCATGGTAACCAACATTCCGTCTTTCTCTGGGTTGTGGAGGAGCTTCATTAATCTGCTGGACACCCTGAATAATGCCAGCAGCCTCGTCAAATTGACCCTCCATCTCAAAGAGCTGGGACATGATTCTGTTGTTCGCGGCGCTAAGGTTACGCACGTTGCCATCGATAGCGCTGACTCTCCGCATAACACCTTCAAGTGTACTCCGGAATGTGCCGAGTTCTCGCCTAACGGCAGGCTGCACTTGGTCACTGCTTGCAGGAAGATTACGGATCTGTCCTTGGATGCCATCAACGACCCGATTCACAATTGCCGATCTCGCTTCATACTGTTCAACATGTGACTTCACGGTCTCAAACCTCGAAATGATGTCGTCATGATCCCGACGTTGACGTTGAATTCCTCGAGCCAGATCCTGCATCTTCCGATTGATCTCGTCAATAGCCTCATGCCAGTCCTGCGGGGAATCATGTTCTGATGGTCTATCGACCTCCTGAGAACCCCTTCCACTCTGCAGTCTCGACACTCGATTAACAAGACGAGTGTGCTCTTCTTTGATCCCTTCAATAGATTCAGAGGCCCACTTGGCAAATGTCTCGTGATCAAGGAGAGCTTTCTCGATCTTCAGGTTTAACTCCCTGAAATTTGCATCCACTACACTGCCGCTGGCCCTATCGGACGGATGCGCGACAGGATTCGGGTTCCATACACCTGCTGGTGTCCGCATCCCAACGGTTTTCTCTACCGAGAACATCCGTTTCTCAAGCTTGTCCAAATCCTTAAGGATCTCGTCCTCAGAAGCAGCATGGCTTCTGCGGGCAGCCTCACTATTCTCCTGAATCATCAGGCGAAGCCGATCAGTCGATGCCTCATTGTCCCTGACAGATTCATGGACCTCGTGGGACAGTAGGTTAATCCTCTGCTCCACGACCTCGGCTTGCTCATCGATGGCTTGCCTCACAATGGCCTTGCTATCGGGAATAACTTCCCTTGCGAACCGTTGAACTATCATTCGCATCCTCCCGGCATCAGATTGAGTCGCAACCTCAGCTGCCAGTCGATCGACCTTGTCCTTCGTCTGTTGATTCTCGTCGCTCCATTCCCTTCGCATGGAACTCACTTGACCGTTCAGTAACCTGATCTGGTCAGCAAAAATATGGAAAGCTTTCGCGACTGAGCCAGAAACCTCACCTCTCTCGAGCATCTCCTGGATGTGCAAATCGAACACCTCCTTTGCCCTAGCGTCACCTGATTCACCGGAAGAATGAGACCTGAGTGCTGGAGGAGTCGATATCTCGATCCTCTCAGGAGCCCCACTAGCTCTAGCATATCTTCTGGGGTCATCCACAGGACTATCACCAACCCCAGATGGCCTGCTAGGGGTAGAACCCCTTCTACGGCTATCGCCGGAACGGGGATCAACATGGGACGCACGAGACTCGGGAGTAGAGTGGATGTGAACATCAGCAGGATCAGGCATCTCCTCATCCTGCGGAGTTGAGTCCATTGGTGAGGGGCTAGCCCTCCTCGCCTTCGACCTATCGGTCTCAATGGCCAGGGGTGACGGTCTCTTCGCAGAAGCACTACGTTCCCTGGCGGTCGAGCCCCATTGAGGTGTGAACTCGTTGCTGGACCTTAGCGTTTCAAGGTCACTGGTATCTCGCCCTAACGGGCTAGCGATCGACGGACGATCCTCGATTCCGAGTGCATCGGCAAGCCGGCCATCTCTTGCACCTCTCCCAACGACATCGGCAACCCGCTCAGTGACTCTCGGCGAACCAGTAACCCGGTTCGAGTTCACGTCCCTCTGATTCAACGGACCTCCAAACGTAATGTTGGGAAAAGGGGGAACATTCGGGGTATCACCAATCGCCGGGGGACCTACCGGTCCCTCACGGTCATGGATGGCCTCCAATCCCCGAAGAACTTCCCGACTGTCCCTGGCTCTCTCTCTCTCGCTTCGGGCATCCCTGTCAACGCGAAGGTCCCTGGCGGCTCCACGAGAGAGGCTCCTGGGCCTCGCAGCATCACGGATCCTAGCATTTCGTCGTGGTTGGTCCTCCTCCTCATCACGGCGATCCGCAAATGCGGCATACTCGTCATCATCATCGACCTCAAACTTGGCAGCGGCGGGACTAGTCCTTGCAGTCGCACGGCTGCCTGCATTTCGGCGCGAATGGCTCTCCTCCTCATCCGCAAAATTGTAACCTTCGCCATCATAAGACTCAGATTTGGCAGTATTAGGGTTGGGCCTACCGGCATCAGATCCCTGCTTTGAGCTACTGCCCCAACCTGCGGTTGATTTCAACAGATCATCGTATCCGAAGTCTGAGAACTTCCGCTCCTCGTGCTCATCAAACTGACCTGGATTCTGAGAACCAGTGGATCGGCCCGGGATACCTCCCGGAACCAGAACCATAGTCCCTGGTCCCTGCGGCCTACTCTCAAACTCATCCGAGACCTGCGACTCACCTGGAACAAGAGATCTCGGAGGTCGAATCGGCATGGCCTCCGGGTCATCCGAATGAGGGCGGGCCATGTCCATCGCCATGCTGGTGAAGTCAAAATGTCCACGCCTGTGACCTGATTCAGAGCCACTCCTATCGGAGTAAACCCTTCGTGTCTGCTCGTCATCAGTGGCCTGGCGGAAAATACGATCGTCTCCATCGTCGGCGTACCTGCCACGGCCCCTGGGTGTATCCCTACCGGGATCTTCACCCCTGCGGTCCTGACCTGTCGAACCTGCTTCGAAATCCTCGTAGTCATAGTCCGGTAGGTCCTCACCTGAGCGGAGGCCACCTAGGATGGCCTCCTCATCCACGACGCTCCTTGAGATCGTGGGGTCGACATAGAGCTTGTAGTTGATGGTCTCAAGCGCGTAGGAAAGTCCTACGGCTGATAACCTGTGATTCGGGCACGAGCCTGTGCCCAGGCAATGGGTAAGTTGGGGTAAACAAGCCACAAAAGAAAGGTTCCCCAAAAGCAAACCAATCCCCGGTCCCAAAGATCAGGGTTTCCCACACACCAGAGAACAACAACCAAAGGAAAACAAACCAAACAAGAAAAGGGTTAACCCGCAACCTTGGTCGACAACAGGCCGCACGACTGGTCCCTATACCAACCTGGCGGCGGCCCGAGGTCTCTTTCTCCCCCGAGATGCCGTCGGTCGACGCAGGGGTTCGGCGACGCCCATTCGAGGCGCGACGGAACCCAAAATCTTGAGCCAAAACACCACAGGTCGGTCACTAACGCGACGTTCCTGATGATGATATGAACCATGGCTAATCACAATATATTAAACACATACGTTTATGTGTCAAATAGGTTCACGCCCATATACCGACGGATCCTCGCACGGTCCGAGCGGGGTTTCCAGCGCAAGCCCCCTGAGGCGCCGGCACATTCTGCTCCTCTTCAATGGAGGGCATAGGCCTGCGGTGCGGCGAGGTGCCAACCTCTCAAATAGGGGCGCGACCTAAGAAGGATTCCTAGAACCCCAGAAATTATTGGAAGACATGAGCAGCATTTGAAAGTGCTCTGTCTCACAGCGGATGGATCTAGAAAGTAGCTCGACTCTGTGTGTTCAATGCCCTTCCTCCAAACATGGGGAAGCGCCTGGAAGATACGTTCCCTTCCTGCCCATGTTTGTGGGAGGGAGGGAAGGGAGGGAGGGCAAAATGATCTTCCCGCAAAGTCCAGAAACTGTGGAAAGCGAGACTTTGAACATGTTCCCATCGTTAACCATGCACCCGCTTTAGGGAGCTGCGGTCGAACCGATGCCGGGCATACAAGGAACATCAGGGGGCGGTTGTTGCGTTGCTGACTTCTAGGAGCATACGTGGGACCGCCGCAACAAAAACAACTGTCGAGATCTGTCGAGGGGGTGGGAGGGGACACAGGAGGGCTATCATCCTGCCCATGAGAGAAACATGTATTACACCCCGAGATTACACCCTCATTCCTACTTATTGTGACTTATGTTGTTTTATCTTTTCTTCGCTTGACTTTCTTCTTACAAAATCCATTGAGAGTGGGTCCAGTCTATTGGGCTGAATGGAACAATCGTTGCCATCTAGCGGCTCAGCTGCGCCTAACAAACAGTCTGACAACTCCACGGGGACGTCGCCAATGTGTCATGAGACAGCTTCACTCGCAAAGTAATTCCCAATTTGGAGGGGAGGTGTCTCAGGGGGTCCAAAAACACCCTGCAAAACCTCGAATACCGTGGGTGAAAGATATTACACCCAGCTCCTGAGTTATTTTGATTGATTTTAGCTGTTTTTCTTCTGGGGGGATTGTTGGGGTCCAAAAGCTTTACGGGAGACAGGGGTTCTTGCTTCTTGGACATGCCCCACACAAGCCGCACATGGATCAAAATAAATCAAAATAAAGCAAAATCGATCGAAATAGATCAAATTAGTTCCTTTTAGAACGAATTAGTCGGGGAACAAGGTGAAATCCCAGGGTGTAATACCTTTTCCCTCTGACACTGCTGCCCAGGGACAAGCCCCTATGGCCTTTCTAAGGGTTTCATCGGGGCTTTCCAAAGGTGTCCTGAATCAGGCTCTCCCCGAAGCCCCCAAAGGCCGTTCCCGCCCCTGGATTTGCTTGTGCGCTCGTAAGTTGGATGGGCCTTCATCTCGCCAGCGCGATCCGCCCCTCCCTCATGCTCCCTTTCAACCAGGCTTGTGGTTGTTGCCACGGGGAATGCAACAGGACGCAATACAAACCTGCTGCCTCCAGCTCACAAACTGCAGAATAACGTCAAAAGCGGTCCCAGTTGTGGTTTGGTCATGTAAGCCCTAATCAAAGAAGGGCGTACCCAAAACCATTGAACAAATGCAAATTAAAGGGCGGTCGCACCTATTTCCGGCTGAGTGCAGATGCCCTAAGTACTACAAGTAAACCACCCATAGTAAGCCACAAAACGCCAGTCAATCAAGGTAAATTCGAGAACCGGCTTCCCTTTCATAGTATGCTATGTTTAGCTGCATCTGGGCCGTCCCATACTACCCTTTTTCTTTGTGGCTAATGCCGTTTCTTTCTGTGGGATAGTCTGAAACTACACATCCCCCCCAAACAAAAAGAAAAGAAGAAAAGAAAGAAAACAACAAAAGAAAACAACAAAACACTCAAGCAAGGAACAAAGAGATCCAACCCAGCAGCAGACAAGCTTTCATCCGCCGGTGTTTTGATTGTGGTTCCGGTTGCACTTTCTGAGCCCCGAGCTGGTTCAGGAACTCCGACAATGTGGACAGTGTCGACTGGCGGAAGAAATCGAATCGCGCAACCGCTGGTTGGGGAACATACCGCCCTGGTGCTACCAATGGGGTCATTCACATGGCGACTTTGTCATTTTGAAGGGGGGTTGAGCTCCTCTAGGAGGCATACCCAACGCGCAGCACGTGTCAGAGGCGAGAAGCGTGAAGCGAACGGGTGGTGCACGTTGGTTGACCCCACATAGGACTTGGACTCTTGAACCAAGGGAAATCCACAATGTTAATATCTTCGGATTGATCCGGAGGGCCTTGTGATGAAACACCCAAGTCAACACACTCGGGCTTTGCTTCATTTCCCCGCAACACGCGCGTGTCCTGCCCATGGTTGTCGAACATAATCCTTTCTCGCTTCAGCTTGGTGGCTTCTGTTACCACAAGCATGGCAGAAAGCCAGCCATTCTCCACGAGACTAATTGGAGCCACACGGAAACCCTGGGGCAGAGAAAGAAAGCTGGCCCCTCATGCCTCCGGACACGAAAGGACGCCGAACCTATCTTCTAACCGTGTGGGTTGGTCCTCGTTAGGAACAGCGATTAGTCCTTGAACAGGGTTCCTCCAAGGATATATCCCAAAAGCAGCTTTACAAGGGAATCTATTTCAGCTGGCGCAGGTGAGCTTTTGACTCGCCCGCAATGCATTATTTATGTAAGAAACCTTTTGTATGGCAACAATGCCCAGCCTCGATCTTCTGCAGAGCTTCCTTGAACTGAGTATGCTTCTGCTCGTTTTCCGCGTCGACCTCGCTGCAGTCACAGGGATCTTGTGGGGTTCCTGCAGTTTCCCCTTTAGAACCACCCCCAAAACCACAAGAAGTCAGACAAACACACACACGCGCACATATATCCTTGTGGTCCAGAAACGCCGGCCATGCATTCTGTAAAGCATTTCCCAACCTTACTTTAGACTTCCCATTTGAATGGGTTGATGAGCCTTAACTTAGTCAGAACACACATGCGGTGGTGATGGAACAGCTGTGTGCCGCACGTGACACATTAAATTGTGTATTCGGTTGCAATCAGTAAGCAGAACGGAATCTGCACTTGATTTCATATGAGGAGCGGACGAAACACTTTACTTGGCCCTAGTACTTTTTTGAACGTTATCGTTTTTGGGGGAGACCTTATCGTTTTACAGTGTTTTCGAACTTTGGCAGATCCGGCTTGAAAATCGCAACTTTTGTAGTACAATTCTAGTACGCGAAGTACACTTCCGCATCTCCAGCTCGAAAATCGCAACTTTGTAGTACAAGTCTAGTACGAGAAGTACACTTCCGCATCTCCAGCTCGAGAATCGCAACTTTGTACTACAAGTCTAGTACGCGAAGTACACTTCCGCAGCTCCAGCTCGAAAATCGAAACTTTGTAGTACAAGTCTAGTACGCGAAGTACACTTCCGCAGCTCCAGCTCGAAAATCGCAACTTTGTAGTACAAGTCTAGTAAGCGAAGTACACTTCCGCATCTCCAGCTCGAAAATCGCAACTTTGTAGTCCAAATCCAGTACGCGAAGTACACTTCCGCAGCTCCAGCTCGAAAATCGCAACTTTGTAGTACAAGTCTAGTACGGGAAGTTCACTTCCGCAGCTCCAGCTCGAAAATCGCAACTTTGTAGTACAAGTCTAGTACAGGAAGTTCACTTCCGCAGCTCCAGCTCGAAAATCGCAACTTTGTAGTACAAGTCTAGTACGCGAAGTACACTTCCGCAGCTCCAGCTCGAGAATCGCAACTTTGTAGTACAAGTCTAGTACAGAAGTACACTTCCACAGCTCCAGCTCGAAAATCGCAACTTTGTAGTACAAGTCTAGTACGCGAAGTACACTTCCGCAGCTCCAGCTCGAAAATCGCAACTTTGTAGTACAAGTCTAGTACGCAAAGTACACTTCCGCAGCTCCAGCTCGAAAATCGCAACTTTGTAGTACAAGTCTAGTACGCGAAGTACACTTCCGCAGCTCCAGCTCGAAAATCGCAACTTTGTAGTACAAGTCTAGTACACGAAGTACACTTCCGCATCTTCAGCTCGAAAATCGTAACTTTGTAGTACAAGTCTAGTACGCGAAGTACACTTCCGCAGCTCCAGCTCGAAAGTCGCAACTTTGTAGTACAAGTCTAGTACGCAAAGTAACACTTCCGCAGCTCCAGCTCGAAAATCGAACTTTGCAGAACTTTGTAGTACAAGTCTAGTACGCGAAGTACACTTCCGCATCTCCAGCTCGAAAATCGCAACTTTGTAGTACAAGTCTAGTACGCGAAGTACACTTCCGCAGCTCCAGCTCGAAAATCGCAACTTTGTAGCACAAGTCTAGTACGCGAAGTACACTTCCGCAGCTCCAGCTCGAAATTCGCAACTTTGTAGTACAAGTCTAGTACGCGAAGTACACTTCCGCAGCTCCAGCTCGAAAATCGCAACTTTGTAGTACAAGTCTGGTACGCGAAGTACACTTCCGCATCTCCAGCTCGATCATCGCAACTTTGTAGTACAAGTCTAGTACACGAAGTACACTTCCGCATCTTCAGCTCGAAAATCGTAACTTTGTAGTACAAGTCTAGTACGCGAAGTACACTTCCGCAGCTCCAGATCGAAAATCGCAACTTTGTAGTACAAGTCTAGTACGCGAAGTACACTTCCGCAGCTCCAGCTCGAAAATCGCAACTTTGTAGTACAAGTCTAGTACGCGAAGTACACTTCCGCAGCTCCAGCTCGAAAATCGCAACTTTGTAGTACAAGTCTAGTACGCGAAGTACACTTCCGCAGCTCCAGCTCGAGAATCGCAACTTTGTAGTACAAGTCTAGTGCGCAAAGTACACTTCCGCAGCTCCAGCTCGAAAATCGCAACTTTGTAGTACAAGTCTAGTACGCGAAGTGCACTTCCGCAGCTCCAGCTCGAAAATCGCAACTTTGTAGTACAAGTCTAGTACGCGAAGTACACTTCCGCAGCTCCAGCTCGAAAATCGCAACTTTGTAGTACAAGTCTAGTACGCAAAGTACACTTCCGCAGCTCCAGCTCGAAAGTCGCAACTTTGTAGTACAAGTCTAGTATGCGAAGTACACTTCCGCAGCTCCAGCTCGAGAATCGCAACTTTGTCAAAGGAAGTTTAACAAGAAACTTCCGTAGTACTGGAACTAAATGAGCTAGCTGCTTTGACATATAGCTATGACAGGTAGCTAGCATGACAAATAGATAGCTTTGACATATAGCTAGCTTGACAGATAGATAGCTTTCCAATAGGCTTGCATGACAGATAGATAGCTTTGACATATAGCCAGCTTAACACGTAGATAGCTTTCTCAAGTATAGCTTTCGTGGCAGGCGCAGCACTTTCGCAAGCACTCTCTGCGAGCTGGGGGATGGCAAGATGCAGAAAACGTTGGCGCTGTGCGTGAATTGGGCTTCCGGACATTGCGCAAACCACCTCGGCTGCGACGCCTGTACGGAGGCGGTCTCGGAACGGTCTCGGAACGGTCTCGGAACGGGTTCGGAACGGGTTCGGAGACGGGCCCATTGGCACGGCCGCGCGAAGGTATCGCAAGGATTGAATTGCGTGGCAGGCGCAGCACTTTCGCAAGGTCAAGTATAGATTTCGTGGCAGGCGCAGCACTTTCGCAAGGTCAAGTTTCGATTTCGTGGCAGGCGCAGCACTTTCGCAAGCACTCTCTGCGAGCTGGGGGATGGCAAGATGCAGAAAACGTTGGCGCTGTGCGTGAATTGGGCTTCCGGACTGTGCGCAAACCACCTCGGCTGCGACGCCTGTCCGGAGGCGGTCTCGGAACGGTCTCGGAGACGTGTCTCGGAACGGTAGTGTTGTCTCGGAGACGGGCCTATTGGCACGGCCGCGCGAGGTTTCGCAAGGTTTGAATTGCGTGGCAGGGCGCAGCGCTGTTAGCAGGTCAAGTTATAGATTTCGTGGCTGGCGCAGAACTTTCGCAAGCCACTTTGCGAGCTGGGGGATGGCAAGAATGCAGAAAAACGTTGGCGCTGTGCGTGAAATGGGCTTCCGGACTGTGCGGCAACCCACCTCGCTGCGACCCGCCTTGTACGGCGGCGGTATCGGAACGGGGTCTCGGAACGGTCTCGGAACGGTCTCGGAGACGGGCCCATTGGCACGGCCGCGCGAAGGTTTCGCAAGGTTTGAATTGCGTGGCAGGCGCAGCACTTTCGCAAGGTCAAGTATAGATTTCGTGGCAGGCGCAGCACTTTCGCAAGGTCAAGTATCGATTTCGTGGCAGGCGCAGAACTTTCGCAAGCACTCTCTGCGAGCTGGGGGATGGCAAGATGCAGAAAACGTTGGCGCTGTGCGTGAATTGGGCTTCCGGACTTTGCGCAAACCACCTCGGCTGCGACGCCTGTACGGCGGCGGTCTCGGAACGGTCTCGGAACGGTCTCGGAACGGGTTCGGAGACGGGCCCATTGGCACGGCCGCGCGAAGGTTTCGCAAGGATTGAATTGCGTGGCAGGCGCAGCACTTTCGCAAGGTCAAGTATAGATTTCGTGGCAGGCGCAGCACTTTCGCAAGGTCAAGTATAGATTTCGTGGCAGGCGCAGCACTTTCGCAAGCACTCTCTGCGAGCTGGGGGATGGCAAGATGCAGAAATCGTTGGCGCTGTGCGTGAATTGGGCTTCCGGACAATGCGCAAACCACCTCGGCTGCGACGCCTGTAACGGTCTCGGAACGGTCCCGGAACGGGTGCGGAACGGGTTCGGAGACGGGCCCATTGGCACGGCCGCGCGAAGGTTTCGCAAGGATTGAGTTGCGTGGCAGGCGCAGCACTTTCGCAAGGTCAAGTATAGATTTCGTGGCAGGCGCAGCACTTTCGCAAGTGTTCAAGTAATCGATTTTCGTGGCAGGCGCAGCAACTTTCGCAAGCACTCCTGCGAGCTGGGGGATGGCAAGAATGCAGTAAACTTGGCTCAAATGTTAGTTACTTTCGTGACCTTGGCATTGATTTTATGGCACAAGAACCATAAAAAACCAAAAACGACAACCTCACACCTGACCACGCAACTTGTCACACTTTACTCAACCCCACAGTCAGACAAGCGCTCCAAGGGATGTTGTTTTGTGTTGTTCTGTTTGTGCAGAGAGTCACAGTCTGTAAGCAGTATTAGTGGCGCCCGTGTTTCCCCTCAGGGGGACTTTTTACAGACTACTCAGAAAATCAACAACGCATACGACTTTTATTCAGAGGTTGGTGCTTCGGCCGGCCGCTTGCGCACCCGCTACTCAGGGCAGCTTGGCGTTTCGGCCGGCTGCTCGCGCCATGGATCGCGATGACAGCAACACTAGTGAGGACCGCTTTCAGGTCCTGTTGGGCGAGGCCAGGCGAGGCAAGCCGGCCATTCCAGACAGGGCCGCCTTATACCGGTTCCTTCAGAGACAGGGCCACGCTTTTACAGAGGGGCAGAGGGAGGAGCTCCGGGCATGGGAGGCTCGGCTGTGCGTGTCGCCCAAGCAAGCGCAGCCAGAGCTCCAAGATCAGTATGAAAGGTTTCTCGCGCTGCTTGAGAAACGAGCAGATTTTTTTATTAGCTCGCGCAAGGTGTCTTTGAAAGCTTTATTTGAAGTCCACGCAGCGAAGACCGACAAGGAGCTTCGGTTCGGCAAAAACTTCATGCTTCGCTGCTACCCACAGCTTTCGCAGGAGCAGATGGACGAGCTGGCCGAGTGGGAGGCCATGCTTTGTGACGCTGGCGAGGGCGAGCGCTTGGCGTTTCGGCCGGCGCTGCAGCGACAGCTGGCGAAGTTTATCGCGGTGCTCGAAAATCGAGCTGAGTACT